TGTAGCCTAGCATGTGTGGTGTGTGAAGTATGATACTGAGTGTTGCGTGTGGGACATCCAGGGTGATCCAGAGTGTGAACAGTGAGTTGTGTGGGCGCCCAGTCGCCATAGCCAGTTGAAGAGAACTCATATCTGGTTACGATATCTTGAGTATTGTGTGGGCGCATGTCGCCAGTTGCTGTTTCGCTGTTTGCATACATGACAAGTGTGAAGGAGTCGAGTATGATTGCACTGGGACTGGTACCAGGGCGGACAACTGTGAAATCCTTTCATTGACTTGCATTTAATGGTGATTCTTGGATTGCACAGTGAACTCACTCTTTTTTTTCTTTTTTTTTTTGAAATTTGGACCATTTCTCGATTTATGCGTGTCATCCTTGTGCAGGGGCCATGGTAATCTTCTCTGTATCATTCCAATTTTAACAGATTGAGTTTTCCTTTTGCTTCGCCTTGTTGTGTCAGGGACTCAGGGTTAGATTGCCTCCCATTGTGCACAGTCTCTACTTTTCTACTAAATCACACAATTTGACAGCATGTATTGCTTGACAATGACCAGAAAAAAAAAAAAAAATCTATCGAGTTCCAACTTCCAACCTAACAGGATGCACCAATCAGTTAAACACACGAAAAGTATGAAGTAATAATTATGTGTTTGCCAGCAGTGAAAGCAAAATACTTGAGTGTTGTCATAGCACATGTAGCAAGGAGGCGGCATGGCCTCATGTACTTTTGGATCCCCCTGACGCAGGCTACCTTTTGACGTCAACAAAAGTTACAGCTCAACAGCAGGCGTACTTCAGCTATAAAAGGCATTGCAAACTGTCAGAATGCTGGCCAGCTGTTTGGAAAAAGAAAAAAAAAAGGAAAAAAAGAAAGGAATGCTGGCCAGTCATAGGGATGCATTGGACATGCTTTGTGTGCACTCAGTCATACTAAAAGGGCCTTTACCCGTTCAGACCCTGAATGACGATCGCAGCATAATGGGGCCCACTCGGCCAGAACTCAATTCGTGAAAAGCAGATCAAAAGACATGTTCTCTGGGTCAAAATTCACATCCTAACTGAAGTGAGGAGTTGTGTCAAAGGTCACAGTCGTGCCCCAGGACGAACAGTTGCAGCATTCAATTGTGAGAGTCACTTCTGTTCGTCCAGGGGGCTGTGCAAGTCACGTCTGTTCGTGCAGTAGATGTGTCTGTTCGTGCCGAAGTTGTGTCTGCTCGAATGGAAGTCAATGAGGTAGAGTCCCAGTCCAAGTCAAAGTCCAATAGGCAGTCCAGATTCAGACCCAAAGTCCAAAATTCTGGCCTAAAGGCGGCAGCAGCAGCAGACCCTGAAGGAAAGGTACTGGGACACATTCTGCAGTGGTCTGGGACTGGGGAAAGACCCAAGGAAGGTTGATTCAGACCTCGCGAAGGGAGGCCAGCACTATAAGAGACTAGGCCAGCCTCCCTACACGACAGATCTCCACTGGCCTTGATGCGTGGAAGTGCTGAAGCACTTGTGCGCTAGCATGCGCTGGCTGGAAGCTGCGCAAGCAGAGGAAGAAGAGGCTGGGCGCTGACTGGCAGAAGCAGCCATAGCTGCGCCAACATTATTAGTAAAAGTGGAGGGGTTAGTAGTAGTCATCAGTGAGTAGCATTCAGAGTAGATCCTCATCAATAGGGAGTGAGCATGCAGAGTAAGACAAGGGAACCAAGACAGGGATCTCGAGAGAGTGAGAGAGAAGACAGGTTGAGCAGTTGGATATGGTGGATACTTACGTGTTGGCGCCATACCTGTGATCTGAGGGCAGACTCTGGCTGAGCCAGGCCCTATATTGAGTATGGAACGAAAGATATTTGTACTCTGTTGGCGCTGAACTCTTGGACTCGAGATACTCTTTGTATAATGTTGTTGTGATAATATGAGCAGCGCTATCTGGTTCTCATCTCATCTCAATTTGGATTCGTGTGAAGTTTCTCTATCTGTATGATGACATCTATGCATGCAATGAGATAAACTCCAGCAAGCTATGAACAGTCAGGTTCCTTGCAATACACACTTGCACTCAGTCATACACGCTTGATGATGCAAGCCAGCACTCATCAAGGTTTGGCCCCTCTCACCACCTATGGGAGGAACACCTCTTTCTGCAACACGTTACACCTACCAATTACCTCACACACACATGTTCTCTCCATCCTTTGCGACTTGTCTTGCCATCCATCATTTTGGAGTTTTCATTTCTCTTTCGAAAAATATGGTTGAGCGGAACTTGAAACATATCGTACACAAATGCTCCAGCCGTGTTGACTCTTCAACAACCAACCACTTGTCTTGGGTAGCGCAGTTTTTCCTAGTTGTTTTTCATGGGAGTGGATCTGTTGTAAGGTGTGTGTTTGCCCTGTTTCTCTGTCTGCTGAAATCCTCCTACATCTCTATCCTCTTGGTTGATGCGTTGGGAGAGTGAGAGAGAGAGAGAGAGAGAGAGAGAGAGAGAGAGAGAGAGAGAGAGAGAGAGAGAGAGAGAGAGAGAGAGAGAGAGAGAGAGAGA